ACCCAAAGATACTCCTTGAGAAGAGCAACTCCAAGACACGTAATTGCCAGATTCACCAAAGTTGAAATGAAGGAAAAAATGTTAAGGGCAGCCAGAGAGAAAGGTCAGTTCAATCCACAAAGGGAAACCCATCAGACTAACACGGATATCTCGGCAGAAACTCTACCAAGCCAGAAGAGAGTGGGAGGCTAATATTCAACATTCTTAAAGAAAAGAATTTTCAACCCAGAATTCATATCCAGCTAAACTAAGCTTCATAAGTGAAGAGAAATAAAATCCTTTACAGACAAGCAAATGCTGAGAGATTTGTCCACACGGCCTGGCTGCCTTAAAAGAGCTCCTGAAGGAAGCACGTAAAACATGGAAAGGAACAACTGGTAGCAGCCACTGCAGAAACATGCCAAATTGTAAAGACCCTCAATGCTAGGAAGAAACTGCATCAACTAACTGAGCAAAATAACCAGGCTAACATCATAATGACAGGATCAAATTCACACATAACAATATTAACCTTAAATGTAAACAGGCTAAATGCTCCAATTAAAAGACACAGACTTGGCAAACTGGATTAAGAGAGTCAAGACCCATCAGTCTGCTTGTTTCAGGGAGACCGCATGCTCACATGCAGAGACACACATAGGCTCAAAATAAAGGATAGAGGAAGATCTACCAAGCAACTGGAAGAAACAAAAAGCAGGGGTGCAATTCCTAGTCTCTGATAAAACAGACCTTAAACCAACCAAAGATTAAAGAGACAAAGAAGGCATTACATAATGGTAAAGGAATCCAATTCAACAAGAAGACTTAATCATATCCTACGAATCGTATATAGTGCACCTTAAGACGAGGGAGCACCCAGATTCATAAAGCAAGTGCTTAGAGATCCTACAAAGAGACTCAAGATCCCTACACAATAAAATTGGGAGACTTTATACAACCCATGTCAACATTAGACAGATCAAGAGACAGAAAGTTAACAAGGTATATCCAGGATGTGAACCTCAACTCTTGCTACCAAGCGGAAGCTGATTACAAACCTACAGAACTTCTCCACACCAAATATCAACAGAATATACATTCTTCTCAGCACCACATCGCACTTATCCAAAATTGACCACACAGTGGTGTAAAGCACTCCTCAGCAAACGTTATGAAGAACAGAAATTATAACAAACTGTCTCTCTCAGCCACAGTGCAATCAAACTAGACTCAGGGATTGAAGAAACTCACTCAAAACCTCTCAACTACATGGAAATTGAACAACTCTGGCTCTACTTCTCTGTATTTCCTGAATTTGAATATTGGCCTGCCTTGCTAGATTGGGCAAGTTCTCCTGGATGATATCCTGAAGAGTGTTTTCCAACTTGATTCCATTCTCCCCGTCACTTTTCAGGTACACCAATCAGACCTAGATTTCGTCTTTTCACATAGTCACATATTTCTTGGAGGCTTTGTTCATTTCTTTTTACTCTTTTTTCTCTAAATTTCTCTTCTCACTTCATTTCATTCATTTGCTCTTCAACCGCTGATACCCTTTCTTCCAGTTGATCGAATCAGCTACTGAATCTTGTGCACGCATCACGTAGTTCTCGTGCCGTGGTTTTCGGCTCCGTCAGGTCATTTAAGGACTTCTCTACAGTGGTTATTCTAGTTAGCCATTTGTCAAATCTTTTTTCAAGGTTTTTAGCTTCTTTGCGATGGGTTTGAACATCTGCCTTTAGCTCTGAGAAGTCTGATCGTCTGAAGCCTTCTTCTCTCAACTTGTCAAAGTCATTCTCCATCCAGCTTTGTTCCATTGCTGGCGAGGAGCTGCGTTCCTTTGGAGGAGAACAGGTGCTCTGATTTTTAGAATTTTCAGCTTTTCTCCTCTGATTTCTCCCTGTCTTTGTGGTTTTATCTACCTTTGGTCTTTGATGATGGTGATATACAGATGGGGTTTTGGTCTGGATGTCCTTTCTATTAGTTAGTTTTCCTTCTAACAGTTAGGACCCTCAGCTGCAGGTCTGTTGGAGTTTGCTGGGAGTCCACTCTAGACCCTGTTTGCCTGGGTATCAGCAGCGGAGGCTGCAGAACAACGAATATTGCAGAACAGCAAATGTTGCTGCCTGATCGTTCCTCTAGAAGCTTCGTCTCAGATCCCTGAATTGACCAATAACAGGCTCTGAAATTGAGGCAATAATTAATGGCCTACCAACTAAAAAAAGTCCAGGACCAGACGGATTCACAGCCGAATTCTACCAGAGGTACCAAGAGGAGCTGGTACCATTCCTTCTGAAACTATTCCAATCAATAGAAAAAGAGGGAATCCTCCCGAACTCATTTTATGAGGCCAGCATCATCCTAATACCAAAGCCTGGCAGAGACACAACAAAAAAAGAGAATTTTAGACCAATGTCCCTGATGAACATTGATGCAAAAATCCTCGATAAAATACTGGCAAACCGAGTACAGCAGCCCATCAAAAAGCTTATATCCACCATGATCAAGTGGGCTTCATCCCTGGGCTGCAAGGCTGGTTCCACATATGCAAATCAATAAGCATAATCCATCCTATAAACAGAACCAAAGACAAAAACCACATGATTATCTCAATAGATACAGAAAAAGCCTTCAACAAAATTCAACAACCCTTCATGCTAAAAACTCTCAATAAATTTGGTATTGATGAGACATATCTCAAAATAATAAGAGCTATTTATGACAAACCCACAGCCAATATACTGAATGGGCAAAAACTGGAACCATTCCCTTTGAAAACTGGCACAAGACAGGGATGCCCTCTCTCACCACTCCTAGTCAACATACTGTTGGAAGTTCTGGCCAGGGCAGTCATACAGGAGAAAGAAAGAAAGGGTATTCAGTTAGGAAAAGAGGAATTCAAATTGTCCCTGTTTACAGATGACATGATTGTATATTTAGAAAACCCCATTGTCTCAGCCCAAAATCTCCTTAAGCTGATAAGAAACTTGAGCAAAGTCTCCGGATAGAAAATCAATGTACAAAAATCACAAGCATTCCTATACACCAATAACAGACAAACAGAGAGCCAAATCATGAGTGAACTCCCATTCACAATTGCTTCAAAGAGAATGAAATACCTAGGAATCCAACTTACAAGGGATGTGAAGGACCTCTTCAAGGAGAACTGCAAACCACTGCTCAACGAAATGAAAGAGGACACAAACAAATGGAAGAACATTCCATGCTCAAGAATAGGAAGAATCAATATTGTGAAAATGGCCACACTGCCCAAGGTAATTTATAGATTCAATGCCATCCCCATCAAGCTACCAATGACTTTCTTTACCGAATTGGAAAAAACTAAAGTTCATATGGAACCAAAAAAGACCCCGCATTGCCAAGACAATCCTAAGCCAAAAGAAAGCTGGAGGCATCATGCTAGCTAACTTCAAACTATACTACAAGGCTACAGTAACCAAAACAGCATGGTGCTGGTACCAAAACAGTGATATAGACCAATGGAACAGAACAGAGCTCTCAGAAATAATACTACACATCCACAACCATCTGATCTTTGAGAAACGTGACAAAAATAAGAAATGGGGAAAGGATTCCCTATTTAATAAATGGTGCTGGGAAAACTGGCTAGCCATATGTAGAAAGCTGAAACTGAATCCCTTCCTTATACTTTATAAAAAATTAATTCAAGATGGATTAAAGACTTACATGTTAGATCTAAAACTATAAAAACCCTAGAAGAAAACCTAGGCAATACCATTTAGGACATAGGCATGGGCAAGGACTTCATGTCTAAAACACCAAAAGCAATGGCAACAAAAGCCAGAATTGACAAATGGGATCTAATTAAACTAAAGAGCTTCTGCACAGCAAAAGAAACTACCATCAGAGTGAACAGGCAACCTACAGAATGGGAGAAAAGTTTTACAATCTACCTATCTGACAAAGGGCTAATATCCATAATCTACAAAGAACTTAAATTTACAAGAAAAAATCAAACAACCCCATCAGAAAGTGGGCAAAGGATATGAACAGACATTTCTCAAAAGAAGACATTTATGCAGCTAACAGACACATGAAAAAATGTTCATCATCACTGGCCATCAGAGAAATGCAAATCAAAACCACAGTGAGATACCATCTCACACCAGTTAGAATGGCAATCATTAAAAAGTCAGGAAACATCAGGTGCTGGAGAGGATGTGGAGAAATAGGAACTCTTTTACATTGTTGGTGGGACTGTAAACTAGTTCAACCATTGTGAAAGACAGTGTGGCGATTCCTCAAGGATCTAGTACTAGAAATACCATTTGACCCAGCCATACCGTTACTGGGTAAATACCCAAAGGATTATAAATCATGCTACTATAAAGACGCATGCTCACATATGTTTATTTTGGCACTATTCACAATAGCAAAGACTTGGAACCAACCCAAATGTCCATCAATGATAGCCTGGATTAAGAAAATGTGGCACATATACACCATGAAATACTATACAGCCATAAAAAAGATGAGCTCATGTTCTTCGTAGGGACATGGATGAAGCTGGAAATCATCATTCTCAGCAAACTATCAGCAGGACAAAAACCGAACACCGCATGTTCTCACTCATAGGTGCGAATTGAACAATGAGAACACTTGGACACAGGAAGGGGAACATCACACACCGGAGCCTGTCATGGGGTGGGGGTAGTGGGGAGGGATATCATTAGGAGATATACTTAATGTAAATGAGGAGTTAATGAGTGCAGCACACCAACATGGCACATGGATACATATGTAACAAACCTTCACATTGTGCACAGGTACCCTAGAACTTAAAGTGTAATAATAATAATAATAATGATAAACATTTCTATTACTCTTAATTGCCACAGACACCAATATGTCTGATGTCTATTGTTTCTGCTAAAACTTCTTTTTCTCTGTTTCTATGTTTTGTGACTTCTATATATCTCAGTATATCAATATACAGTTGGCACTTACAAAAACTACCAGATGGCCATTGGACGTACTTCCTGTTACATGGCAAACCGAATAATCTCAGTGCACTAAGTGTTGTTTTTAGTCATTTCCTTTTAGCTTTGTGCTAGGTGTTGTTTCAAGAAGCTAGTTAATAATAGTTTTATTTTACTAGCTGGTATCAAAAGAATCATGCCAATTAACTCATTATCAGAAGAATCATATGAAGTAGATACTTCTTTTATCTCTCTCTCTTTTTTTTTTTAATGAGGAAATGGAGGCATCAAGATCATAAGTCTCAGAACTAGTTTAAGTGGCCAAGTAGTCTCCCTCCAGAGATAAACCTTTTAACTCTCAAGCAGGACCGTCTCTCCTAACTCTTGAGATAACACTGTGGAAGTGGGAAACATCAATTTTAAAGAAATTTTAGTTTGTTTAATTTTATTTTTAATCTCTCTAATCTTTTTAGGATATAAATGTTAATCCTGAGATTACTGCACTACAGACTCTGCTTGCTGAATGCCGAGAAAAGCTTAAGGAGCTGACTTTGATAGAGAAAAGGTTAGACTGTTTAGAACAAAAAATGAAAGGAAATGTGATGGTAGATGAAAACACCTGGACTAATCTGCTCAGTCGTGTCACTCTTCTTGAAACAGAAATGCTTTTGTCTAAAAAGGTATTTTCTTCTTTTAACATTTATAAAATATCTCAGATATAACACAGTAATTTTTTGATTGTTGTATGTGTATTTTTTTGGAAATGCTAAATATGAGAATATTTGAATAATGAGAAAATGTCTAGGTAGAATGAAGTCCTGTTTAAATATAGCCTGAATGGTGTTGTGGCTGTTGTTTCTCTCTTCATTGAATAAGACGATCTGAAAAACTTGTAAGTTGAGCTTTTACAGATGTTAATGATGCTTGAAGAACTTAAAATGAGGTAAGAATATGATAGATATTATGAAAAGCTTAGAATTATTTTGTATCTTTTAATAGTACAAATGACCTATTTTCGTAGGGTGGAAAAGATACAGAAGATATTGATAACTCTTCCTGTCTTTGTTTCACTCATTTACTTCAATCATTGTGAATTTCATAGAATAGTTACCAAATTTATCATTGCCTTATCAAATCTGAGAAATTTGTTTCTTTTACTCAGGATTTCGATTTCTGGTCTGTCTTTCCTTCCTAAAAAGTGAAGTTGATAGATTCAAGAAGCTTGCTGTCTGCTTCCATATGTAAAACATTTCTTATATGTAGGAATATATAGTATATGCATTGCTTTAATAAAAAATTAAAAATATTTAAACGTTTATCATGCTACCTTTATATTTTATGCTCAGTAGTAAGAATATAAAATGAGAGGGTTTTCCTTTTTATTTCATTCTAAATATTTAACTGTGTTATTCCAGAATGATGAATATGTAGAGTTTAATGAAATTAATGAAGACTGCGCTTCTTGTAGCAACATGGACCTTCTGAATCCTCGTAAGTTTGTAAACATCATGAGAATTGGTATGATGAGTTTTCAGAAAAATGATTGTTATAGGTATTTGGTAATTTTAATGTTCTTAAGCTTCATTGTTTAGAAATTGCGAAGCTCCTAGAACAAAGAAAATAATGAACCTATAGACTACTAAAGCCAAGAATTGCTTATGAAGCCAGCCTACTTATTTTACATAACACAGTGGGTAAATAAATTTCAGTGTACAAAATTGAAAATGTTTAGAGATATTTTACTGTTTTAATCATTCTAGAATAATCAAGTGTTCTAGAATTTTAAAATTGACCTCCAAGTTTTTAAATTTAAGCTTAGGTAGGTAGTAGCTTTCTCATATGTAAATAATAATATGTAAGAGAAGAAAACACATTTGTCAGTAACCTATAAAGTATTGCAAACCTCTTCCATGTGAATGCTTCACTGATAATGATAAAATGGGAAAGATCTGATATTAGAACAGGTCTTTTCCTGGTCACATAACTTTACTAGGCTAATGATATTTTGCTCAGTGTGACTGAGCAGCAAGGGTAAGATTTCTGTTTTGCAGTGACAGCTTTGTTTTTTTTGATTCTTATATTTTTTTAAAAGACAGATCTAAATTTTGTGCCGTGTCTATGATTAAATCATATCCACAGAAGAGATGTTTTGTCCAATTGAGAATTCATCAAGTTAAATTTTTAATATCTGGATCATTAACATTATAAAATCTTTCAGCTTTACTATATGTGTAACAACAAAATAACAATAGATATTCTAGCACTAACAGTGTGCCTGGCACTATTCTAACTACTATATTAACTCATTTAATTCCTGAAGTAACCGTGCAAGATAAGTACTATTTTTATATTTTACAGTTGCGGAAACTGAAGTACAGCAAAATTAAGTAACTATGACAAAGGTCACACAGTTATTAAATGGTAGATCAAATTTGAATCCAGGCAACTGATCTGAAGTTTTTTCTTAACCACTGCATATTTGGAACACATATCAGTATCATTGCACAAATAACAATTTCAGTGATTAGGTTATTAAATATAATTATTTGAGATGCTATTTAAGGCAACTAAATTTATTATAGACTGCAGATTTCAGATTTGGTAAAATGTTGCCTGTTTTATTTATCCATTCATATATCTATTCAACAAATGTTAACACTTGAGTATAAGATCCTTGAGAGCAAAAACTTTATCTTATGGTCTGCCTGTCTAGCACACAGAAAGTGTATCTGTGCTTTTATCACCAGTATTTGCATATAGTAGAGTTTAAATATTTATTCACTGAAAAAATATTGAATGCTTGTGATTTGCAAAACATTGCCTTTTGCAAGTTTGATTTTGCATGCTCAGGCTTATTTTTTTTTTTAATGACATGATTATAGAATATACCTTTAACCTATTTAGAAAACACATGGCTAGGTTTTTTTGAGATAAGGGTGGTCTTACTCTGTTGCTCAGGCTGGAGTGCAGTGGTGCAATCATAGCTCACTGCACTCTCCTAGACGTTAACTCTTTGGCCTAAAGTGATCCTCCTGCCTCAGCCTCCTGAGTGGCTGGGACTACAGGCACGTGCCTCTACACCTGGATAATTTGTATTTATTTATTTATTGTTTTTAGTAAAACGAGGTCTTGCTATGTTGCTCAGGCTGGTCTTGAACTCCTGGGCTCAAGCAATCCTCCTGTCTCTGCTTCTCAAAGTACTGGGATTACAGGTGTGAGTTACCATGTCCAGGCTCACATAGCTAAATTTCAGCAACTGTGCCAGGACTGAAAGTAATTAACAGGCCACTATCTGCAATGGATTACAGATTATGATTAGGGTGAATACCTGGTCTCATAGAGTTTATGATCTGATCTACATTAATTAAAAGACCCAAGTTTATAAAGACTTACACATTATACCTTATACATGCTACTTGGGAATAGGATTTGATTTCATTTGGATGCAGACAGCAATAATTTATCACTCTGGGTTTAGAATCGTATTAAATCAGGAATAGTTTTTGTGAGGTTCCAGATTTGTTTTGACTTTATCAGGAATACAGTGTTCCATGGGGAATTGTAAGGCACCTTAATGTCTTGGTAAGAGTGAATTAGCAGAGGCTTTTAAGGATTGGACTTGTGTTGGGTAATTTTGGAGAGGGTTTGAGGAAGCAAAGCCTACGGGTGCTGTCAGGGAGCAGGAGCAATTTGATGATTGATGGTAATAATGAAATTTTTAGCATAAAACAAGTACTCTTATGAGGCAAGGGGGGGCTATATCCGGTCATTTATGTGGTTACATGGTGCCCTTGTTTTGTCTATGTTTGGACATGAATAATGGTTTTGGGCGTGTTGTTTAATTATGCCAATGAAGTGACCTCATGTGGTGTTGTTTTTTGTGAAATTATTTATGTTCACTAGAGGGTACAGTAGCTTAGGTGTTAATTGCCAGACAGGACACCAACTGTTAGTGCTCCTTTTTTGTTTGCTTGTTTGTTTTGCTTTGTTTTGTGCCTTTTTCTCCTCAGAGGAAAAAAATATTAAGAAAGGTGTGGCACCACAGAAGAGTGTGATTTGTTCCTGTGTGACTAGAAGGAAGGGTACATGTGAGCACCTGAAGGAAGCTGAAGCAGAAGAGTAGAAAGATCAGGTCATGGGGTTTATCCCAGAGTCGTAGAAAGATTTTCAGCAAGGCTAATATTCTGAGGTTTGCGTTTCACAAAGGTTATCATCAAAGCAGAACAGTGATTTGTTAGGAAAGTAAGATAGGCAAGGATAATTTGAAGAGTATTTTGGTAGTCATTATTTCAGAATAATAATGAGGGTCTCTACTAAGGCAATGATAGTGAGGATAAAGAGCAGGTAATTTATTTGGGAGAAATTTAGATGTTAAAATTGATATGCCTTGATTCCTGATAGATACAAAAAGTGAAAGAGAGTAAGGAAGTTAAGACTGACTACTTGTGTTTAGCTCATGTGTTTGGGTAGATGATTGTTACTCTTTAATAAAATAAAAAGTTCAGGAGGAGGAGAAGGTTTGGGAGAAATAATGAGTTCACTTTTGAATATAGTAAATTATGTATGAAACCCTTAAGACAAAATATCTACAAATAAGTTGGATACATACATTGGTCCTTGATTTAGAAATATTGGCTTACAAATTATTAAATGGTAAAGAACCCTACTATTTCCTTAGTGAATAGGTGATGAGCCTCCAAAGATGGCAATGAAAGATTAATTATTACGTGGTAAGAGTTGGCTAGAAGATCTCATGTCCCATACCCTTAGAAGTAGAAGAATCCCTTTCTTTACAGAGACTTCTTAGCAGTCACTACTGAAGTACATAACAACTGGTGTCAGGGTCCTTGTGTCAGTGGCCATTGCCTTTCTCCATTCCTTTCCAACCTGAACTCAGTTACCAATTCTTTTCTCAATCCCCTATAGCATAGCTAAGAAACTATTAATGTTTAAACAAGTAAGGCTTTACTAAAGGTTCAAGAAAGCAATAATAAAAATTACAGAAATTAATATGCACTTAACTGATCTGGCTATTAAATAGAGCTGGCGTTCTGTAATGGTCCACTCTGTAACCTCTGGAATCCTCTATAGGAATAACTATGAATAGCTTGTCAGCCTGCCAAATACCAGCTTTCTCCCACCATGAGGCACACTCTTGAATAAGCTTAGACACCTCAAAGTCTGCACCCCAAAGTAGAAGACAAAGAGAGCCCTTCCTTCACCCTTTATCTGTCTTCCCGGACCTGTTTCCTTTTCCTAGCCCCCACCGCTTTTTGGAAAGACATAAGAAATGTTCAGGACAACTATCTGTACCCACAGAAAGTAATCCAAGATTTAGTGCGTAGTAGATATAGTTCCTGCCTAATTTCAAATTATTTCTTAAAATAACCTCTTGTCCACAGATCCTGCTAAAAGATCTGAGTTTATGTAGTCTTCAGAGTTGTACCCTGTAATCTTGACCTCCAGGCTTAGCTAACTGGATTAAGAGTAGACACTTAACCCAGAGAATAGGAATTCAAAGTGTGATGAGTCAAATTTCATTCTCTGTCTTAGAATTTGGAATTAGGACACCACGAGTCAGTTAGTCAAATGATATTGAGCCTGGGCTGGGCTGGCCATGTGGTGGAAGTTTATGCTGATGAGTCAGCAGAGAAAGCCATTCTACAGAGAAGAGCAGAGGAATGGAGCAAATGGCAGAAGTAGGCAAAAGAGACTATGATTCTATGAGAGATGAAAATTAGTCTTCTAGTTGTTTCAGTTCTCACATGGTAATAGTTTGTTCCTCAATTAAGGTTGTCTGTGTAGACTTACAATAAAGCTGTCTTTATGTGAACCAGTTTAAATGAGTGTCCTTTTTTTTTTTTTTTTTTTTTGCATTGCTTTTGCAGCCAAATGTATTCTGATTAAAACACAGGGTTTGTAGGATTTATTACATTATCCATAATCTTCTCTAATTGATATTTTTGAAGGGGAGATGCCATCATTTTGTCAAATTAATATTATCAGGATATTTGAAATGTTAGGTTTTTCAGTTTTTTAGAAGAAGAAATCTGTGGATCGTAAATTTTTGCATTACTGATTTTCATATGTGTTAAATCAAGTTAGAATGTTTCTTGATTTTTAAAAGATATATATGGTCAGTTATAGGAATAGTTGTCACTTGCCACGGAACAGTAGTAAAAAAATTTGTGAAATGCTTGAATGTTGCTGAATAAAAGCATCATGACAAATTCATGGATACGAATTATTTAATGTAGATGTCACCATTTTAAGAAAAGAATATACATGATTGATTCAATGGGTTATATTTTAAAATAAATAATTAACTTGCCTGTTTTTCAAACTGATTGCTACCATGATAATAATACTGCCTTTTGTAATTTTTATTGGGCAATTTTTAACATCTAGATCTCCATATGAAAGCTTTTACCTTAAAATAGTACTAAAAACTCTTTGATCTATACCGATAGCCATGTTTAATTAAAATAGTATGTTTTTCTTCCATCTATAAATAACATTTTTAGATATTTGACTCTACTGTGAAAGGAAAAGGTAATCTAAAACTTAATTTCTTCACAGACAGAAAAAACAAAGTAGGGAGGCCAGCAAGTATTCCTCTGTCCTCTGGTTATAGTACGGCATCATCAGATTCAACTCCCAGAGCCTCTACCATTAATTACTGTGGTTTGAATGAGATTTCAGAGGTAAGAAAATGCTTAGATTATTTCCTTTCTAAATTAGGAAAACGAGCAAGCATTAGTTTTAGTTGTAAATATCGCTGGCAAGAAAAATAGCAAAACTGAATCTTAGTCTCTCAAAATTCTTTCATAAGTAAACAGTACTTAATGCAATGTTTCAAACTGTATTTTGTACATTCTCAGTCCATCTTTGATGATGGTTTACTTTGAGAAGTCATCTAAATTTGTTGCTTTTTAAATTAAAGGAAACAACAATCCAGAAAATGGAAAGGATGAAAAAAATGTAAGTAACAGAAAGGGGCAACAGAAATTCATTTCTCCATAGGGAATTGTATTGGATTACAGTATACATAGAATGTGCATGTGTGTTTCAAACCTTAAAGGTCTCTCAGTCAGGTGTGGAATTTCCTTCAGGACTCCATTGGATAATAAATCCACCTACAGTTATGTGTTTGCGAGATGAGTCACTGTTTTATGATGTAAAGCGTGTTGGAATTGTTAATGGAATTAACTGCAGATAGAGTACAAAGATATTTTTGGTTGGTAACTAATCAAGAGTATTATCTGTTTTTGATAACTGATTTATCAAAATATTAAATAATATATGTAGATGGATGGTTTGCAGACATTTTCAGTATTGTGAAAATATCACTGGTGTTTTTCAGCGAGTTATTGATAAGAGATAAAAATGATGTTTTTGTCTAGTACAAATGATGTGATTTTTCTAAAAAACAGTTCAAAGGAAATATAAAATGAAATTGCATATGAGATGATTATGCAACCGGCCGGGCGCGGTGGCTCAAGCCTGTAATCCCAGCACTTTGGGAGGCCGAGACGGGCGAATCACGAGGTCAGGAGATCAAGACCATCCTGGCTAACACGGTGAAACCCCGTCTCTACTAAAAAATACAAAAAACTAGCCGGGCGAGGTGGCAGGCGCCTGTAGTCCCAGCTACTCGGGAGGCTGAGGCAGAATGGCGTAAACTCGGGCAGCGGAGCTTGCAGTGAGCTGAGATGCGGCCACTGCACTCCTGCTTGGGCGACAGAGCGAGACTCCGTCTCAAAAAAAAAAAAAAAAAAAAAAGAGATGATTATGCAACCTACTACTATAGAAAATTATAATATTATTTTGAAATGCAAAAAGTACTTAACTTACACTCCAAGAATACAAGACTCATAATTGACTCTTTTTTTCCTCCCTCTGAGCATACTTAAGTTTATTCATAGTAACTGTACTTATAGATAAGAAAAATATTCAAATTTATTTTAGGCTAAAAAGCATAATTTCAACACCTAAAATGCTATGCTTTATTATGAATTATTGATTTACCTAATATATTATTTATTATATTTCAGGTTTGAAGAAACTGCAGAGTTATTGAAATGTCCAAATCACTACTTGTAGGATTTTCTACATGAACTTTTCTAGGACTTCGGTTACTATACATATTGTATATTTTAAGAATTCTTTATACAATTTTAATATACTGCAATTTTTGACAATTTGGATTCCATTTGGTATATGAATTTTTGCATTCATTATTGAATAAATCTTTTAATATTTTTGAGCAATGATTATACTGCTTTACCTTGTGTCACTTTTTTTTTTTTAAGGAAAAACTCATGTTCCAGTCTATTTCTCTTACAGAGTGAAGTCATTACAGCACTGTATTTCTGTGTTGACGTTTGTTGGCAGTGTGCTAAGTAATGTTTTTTAAAGCACAGGCTTGAGGACTATGGTTTACATCCTGTTGGAAACATTCCAAATGGAACTTGTGTATTATACCCAGGAGGCTTTCATATATGCCATCTTCGCATCTGTACTGATGAATAAATTATAATAAACAGTTAAAAATACTCATTGAAAATTAAATATAAAGACAGCTATTTCATGCTTGGTCAAAAACAGCAATACCTTTCCAGTTAACATTGAGAAATTAAGGTTAAGATTCCCCTTTTGTACTGGGAAACGGGCTTGAGGACTGTGGTTCTCAAGTTTAGACTAAGGGGACGGTGGTCTCAAGGTTCACCGTGAGAAATGTGTTGAACATTTTAGTGTGCTCTATTGTATGAATTTTTTTTTTTTCTTTTGAGATGCAGTTTCGCTCTTGTTGCCCAGGCTGTAGTGCAATGGCGTGATCTCGGCTCACTGCAACCTCCGCCTCCCAGGTTCAAGCTATTCTTGTGCCTCAGTCTCCCGAGTAGCTGGGATTACAGGCATGCACCACCATGCCCAGCTAATTTTATATTTTATATTTTTAGTAGAGACGGAGTTCCTCCATGTTGGTGAGGCAGGTCTCGAACTCCTGACCTCAGGTGATCCACCCGCCTTGGCCTCCCAAAATGCTGGGATTACAGGTGTGAGCCACCACTCCTGGCGGTGTAGCACTTTTTAAGACCAGTATGACAGACAGAGAATATAGCCATTCTAGCCAACATTAAAAGATACACTGAGGTGTCGTGTTTTGTTTTTTTAATGATGAAAAGTTACACATTTTTTGGAGAGAGAAATCTTGGCTGAAGTTAAATCAATGGAAAAATTAAATTTATTTTTAATATTACTATATGAATTATCTTTTTTAAAACTTATAGATAAAAGTGTAGCAGTAATTCCGGAAATTCCTCAAGAAAATTGACTTCATTATTTGGAAGGAAAAAGTGTATTTTTTTATTATTATATGGACCATCTGATTATATTTTATTTATTCATCTATTTATGGTATGTATGTATAATTCGGCATTACACTGTCAAATATAAAATATTGTTATATGAGTAGAAATCACTTAAATTTTTTTTGTGTGTGTGAATTTGAAACAGCGTAAGAAATCACTTTTAAGCTTTTAAGAAAACATTTTTAGTGTTCCTTTTTTTTTTTTTTTTTTCCTTTTTGAAACAGGGTCTCACTCTGTTGCCCAGGCTGGAGTGCAGTGGCGTGATCTCGGCTCATTGCACCCACCGCCTCCCAAGTTCAAGTGGATTCTCGTGCCTCAGCCTCCTGAGTAGCTGGGACTATAGGCCTGTACCATCATGCCCGGCTAATGTTTGTATTTTTGTAGAGACAGGGTTTCTCCATGTTGCCCAGTCTGTTCTCGAACTCGTGAGCTAAAGCTACCTGCCCACCTGGAACTCCCAAAGTGCTAAGATTACATGGGTGAGTCACCATGCTTGGCCGCATTTTTAATATTCTAATAAATATTTGGTTGTCAGAACTTTAAAATGATAGCCTACAGAAACATACAATTTTGAATTTAACAGAGTTTCAGTAAATGTTTCCAGAATTAATGAAGCATGTTAGCTTTAATTTTTTTTGATTGTGAGAGAAGTACATTTATAAAAATTAAGAGGTTATAGTTATAATGGAAAAAACTACTGTATCGATTAACTCCTAAAATATCAGTGCCAGCATGGAACTATAGCACCACCTTGTGGTTGACATGGCAGTGTTTTACCTTTTATTAAAACAAGTGATTTCCCATCAAAGAGGATATTTTTTCCCTTTTGAAAAATTCAATTTTAAAAAGAAACATTTTTGAAGTTTTCTTATGGAAGATAGAAGGAAAGTGTCTTTCTGCCTTTCTTTTTTTCTTTATATAGTGCAGATATACACACAGTGAAATGACTTAAAACATTTCTAATCTAGTTTATATACAGTGTGCAAAATATAAGTATATATTGAAAATATAAAATATTTCATATATGTTACCAGGTGGAAATTTAGAATTCAAATTTTCTTAAACTTTAATAACTTGTCTAACAACTCTGTAACAGGAACTAAAAATCAATTCATAATACATCATACATTTACACTTACAAAGAGTCTCTATCTTGACAACATAATTTTTGGAAAAATAAAGCAAATTCGACTTTATTGAAGTTGTTGGACAGATCTGCAAATTGTTATTTTAAAAAGTTTTCTTGTTCAGGCAATTTGGTAAGTGGTTTCCAGTCATAAACCAGCCATTATTGATTAACTTGAGATGGTGAAGCAGGGGACTTCTGAAGAGATTACCTGGAGCTACAGTAATTAACTCTAAGTAAAATTTTCACTTTCATTCTTTTCATTCTCTCATAAACTGGATGAAAAAACATTGTGCTGCCAACAAAGGTGTCAGTTGCTTGTGCTGCCCTGTCTGTGCTATGCTCTGAATAGGTCTAGGTAAAAATTATATGGAAATACTATAAAGAATACGTAAGGTAAAATACTAGTCAGAAAGCGTTCAGAAGAAGTTAACATCAACTATACGAAAATTCTAGGTAAAGCTAAGTACTGTTGAGTTGGAAAAAAGTAGTTCTATCCTGGTTGCTTGTTTTCCTCTACTGTTTTTAATGTGATGTTGTAATATATTTTAAAAACAAAATTTGAAAACATTGGGACCTTGTTTCATGCCATTCATTACTCATAACTATATAATTGATACACACTTTGGGAAGCATAAAAATTAATTAAAAAAAAAAAACCTTCTCAATTTTATAAACTACAGCACTTTTTGAGCTCAAATAACATTGTAGCTTTGATTTTTACTTTTTAATAGTCCCCAGGTTTGCCTTCTTTCTTTGAAATGGAATGACAAAGAAAGTGAAGTAGAGGTAGTGTGAAACATTAAACTACAAAATTAAAGCTTTAATTGTTGTGTCTCTTGAGTTTTAATGTTCCTAGTGAAAATGGCAGGTTTCTTACCCCACTCAGAGAAGAAAGCTGGAAAGTCAGTACAGCACTGACAGCAGTAGCACACTCAGAACATGCAAATGTATTTTTGAAGAGGAAATTTCTAAAAATTCATATTAATTTTATTATGACATATTTATTCCTAATACTTGTGGGAATTAGGACTGTATATATATGGTTTTTTTTTTTTTCCTCAGTGAAGTCCACTAAATCACTAGTAAAAATTTAATTTGATTTTGCTTTTTAATTATTTAAATGTAAAATATTAAACTCAGCATTTAAAAATTAAAAACGTGGGACTTAGTAACTATCCCAAATGTATAAATTATTTTAATTTTATGTTGGGCCGATGGGTGGTAAGAAAAGTAGAGAATCACGGGAAAGTTGAACAGTCAGGGAATTTGAGTGATGAGAAGGCTGAATATTTTGGAGTAGTTCTACTTCGTTTTAGAACTTCAGTTCACTTAAGGTGTTATGTTCTTGGAGTGCAAATCAACTTATGAAATCATGAGATGTAGCTCTTCATTTGTTGAAACCCTGAGAGGCACTTGTGACAATGCAACAGAATTCTGTACATGTTTCGTATGTCTCTTGGCCATCCCTATAGATTTACTTTTGCAGTTTCCCAGTAATGTTGCGCCAGGTAGATCTCCTTTCCAGGCTCCCCATCAACAGTATTTCTGTGTTTGTTTTCTTGTCTCTGAAACTTTTGAGCTTTTCGAAGACTGTATCTCTGTTAGGATATTTATGAAAAAATGTTTAAAAATAAGCTATGGAATAGTTATTTGTAATTACAATTGTAAAACTATTAAGTTGAACTATAGTAAAGATTGATCATTTTTAGACTCATGACTGGCTCGCTTTTTTTTTTTTTTTTTTCCCATTCCCCACTTTGATGGGAAAGCATTACCTTCTATAAGTCCTCGTAAGGTGGAGGACGTTTTGTCTGCGTGCCTTTTGCTATTGTATGGGAGGCAAAACTTTACCATCTTAACGTCTCTGGCTAGGCCTGAGAATTGAATTGACGTAAGATAAATTAGCAGGAGACAAACGGATTTTCCCATGTACATGGGAGCCCCCATAGGAAAAT